GTGATGCCCATTCACTGCACTTAATGCGTGTAACATGTCAGTCATTCTTTGGCCAGTGCCACTACACACCAGTGTGAATGCATGCAACTCTCTATGATAAGGTGAAAATGAGGGTTTCAAAGTGAGGAGATGCAATGAAATGGAATGACACTATTCATAATTTATGATTGAGACAGCTCATCAGTACAATGGAGGCAGTCAACCGATGTAACAAATGTGCGAGTGCTGATGTATGTGAAATAATGGAATGCAACTTACGGCCCACTCCTCTGTAGCTTTCAGCCAAAAGCGAAATCACCACCCCAATAAGGTGCAATTGAAAGGACATCGCCAACGCGAAAATACTTGGCATTCTCAAAACATAACCTATCTATTGGAATGTGCGCCAATCATATCAGCTTATGGGGCATGTGCCCTTGGCCTGGAAAGCAACTTCTACATATATATACTAAACCATACGACGTGTTGTTTCATGTGGTTGGGTCAGCACCCAACTAAAGCGCATGTTATTATCAGGGCGCACAGACAGGTTATATTGGAACCATGAAACCGATGGTTGACTTTCTTGTCACAATCGTGTGAGTCATGGGACACGGGATCGTGTTTAGGTCGCTCCTTATGCCGCACCTCCATTTCATTAATGCTGAGATTTGGCGCTCTTTAGAAAATTGCTCAAATTGGATGGGAAGTTGAACGGGCAGTGTGTATGGGGTAGAGTAAATTGGGAATATTGCACGTTGATGGGTCCACAGTGTTGAACGCGAAGCATAAACAACCTCTTGCAGAACTAGCTTTGAATTATGAATGTGAGCGTTTCCTTTCATCTTCCTTGTCCAATCACTGGATCATTCGGCGATGCGCAATGTAAATTATTCCCCATTGTCGTACACTCAGAATTGCCGTAAGAGACGTTGGGAAGGACATTTTAAATCGCCTGCAAAATGCACCCACTTGGAATGTTTATGCTTTAGTCCGCGAGCTCTAATATCCGTTTTGTTTTTCACTAACCAAATCTTCCCATTCTCTTCAACATTCGCATTGCAAAATTCCACAACTGCAATGAATTTTCGGCCTCGGAGGCATATTTGTGTATCGGGTTCTACCATCGAAATTGTAAAGGGTGCGATGGGAGTCCACTATGCCGATATCTCACGTTTCCCCAACCTGAATGAAGAAAGAATGGCAGAAGAATGATAAGCACTTGTGAAGACCAGTGGTCGTGGCAATGGTGATGCAAGTAGGGGGAAGTTCCTGCTGCTGCCAATGGAAGGGGTGTGTGCATGACATTTGCCCAACGGATTGCGAATGCTGCAGGTGAGGCGATGCTAATCTGCCAGTTATCGTCATCACCTCCTGTGACTGACCGCTCAACCAAGTGCATTCAATTAAATGCATCCAAGTGCCAAGTTTAGTTAGAACAAATTAAAATATAATGGGGAGTGTAACGGTTTGCAGCGGAGTTCCACTTGTCAAAACTCCTTGCCTGAATCAGTTTTTCATAAATAAAGTATATAGAATGAGAGGAGCAATGATTGGACCAAGTGTACGGGCAGTCCGAATGTCACTGTTTACTATTGTGGAAGGATTCATTCTACATTTTGTCCTGGTGTGCGTTAATTCCTCTTTGCACCCAAGTGCAAATAGAGGGCTGTAGTTGATGAAGAATAATTTGTTAAAAGGTGGTGAATGCGTGTGACCCTATTCATTATCGGCAAGTACACTTCACGCTTGAATGTATGGATGCTGTCACATGCTGGAGAGGAGGTCAAGCTGAACCTTCCACACGGTCTGCATTGTACCAGTCAAGTTGTGGTAGCAAAGTTGTTGCCATCTTCTGATTTTTCAATTTCACTGATAGAGCGTGTGACAGACAGGCAGACTGATGTGTGGATGAAAGTGCATTCGAATTGTGGAATGTTGAACTACGAGGCTAGGCGAAATTGAGATGGGTGGGTGGTACAGAGGAGACCGACACACGCTGTAGGTGAAGAGGATGGCGTTAAAGCCGTTCACAGCATGTGGAGTCATGTGCGTGAGAATGGTTTGTGTGGTGGTTCAATGAATATTATTGTGATGGCAGCTGCTTGACCTCATCTGTACTACTTTGTTTGAGGTGATGAGCAAGATGCAAGTACAAAATAAAACACTAGCACTTTGGTGGCAAAAGACGTACAGTGGGCATCTAGTAGACCTATGTGGATTCCAACGGGTGGCTATTTGTCGGTGGCGTTTGTTTCCAAAGCACGAAATCTCCATTGGCACAGGACAGTATTCTCTCCTTTTCTACCGAACATCCAATTAGAGAAGTGAGGCGTTTGTATTTGCACTGATTCTTCCAGCTTCAAATCTCACCCTGGTGCAATTTGCATGTGCCATCCTCAACAGCGTATCCGCAACCTTTGCCACCGTGAGATGGAACCAGATTAACATAACCAAAGGCAGTGCTCACTAGACGCAATTCCGACTTGTTTACAACATGAATTAGTACCTCTAGAGGTAGGCACGGAAATTGGGCTGAACTAGCCAGGTTTCCGTCTGCAGTGGGTCGACCGCAGAATACCTGCTATCTGCATGTGCTTCAGAATTGTGTGTAATGAAATTCAGACCGATCTCTCTCCACTTTTAAGTGCTACCTTCCATAGTACATCAAGTGCTCTGCAGTACACCACAAAATAAAACGGTGAGTGTACGTTGAAAGTGATGCCAAATCTGTCGCCATCCTACTTGAAAATCTACTTCTACTAGTAGTAGTAGCTGAAGCCGACCCAAGGTTATGGACCTATCAATAGGCGAAATTCAGGGCCTTCAGGTTCATTTAGCAAGCTTGATACTTAGTATTCATCTCCTCGTAATTGTCACACAAATGTAGGCTCAAAATGCATTCGAGATTTTATGGATCATTGGCGAAACGGAAGTACAACATGAAGAGTACCCACAACACGGGTTCACAATTCAACCACTTGCAGTAAACAATGCTTTCATGTTTCCTTTTACTTGGACAACACTTCGAGTTTGGAGACTGGAAGAAGGCCTAGCTAGAGGTGGCATAGTAGCCACAAATGCAGTCGCATCCCTCTGCAGTTTGGGTTGTTCCAAATGCTGATTTGTGCAAGCTATTTCATAATTCACATTACAGGAAAATATCTTGATGATTAAATTTCCGGTTTGTAAGTTGTTTCATGTATTGAGTAGAAAACTTGCAATACATTTTTGGCTTTGTCTAAACGCCCTCTACAATTTTGTGTCTCAATTACGCAGTGCTTTCCACGGCCTGGAGCTCATTCATTGCAATGCTGGATGAGGAGTGAACAATTTCTGCAAACAGGGTCGATTTAGTCTGTTGAACAAATCGGAGACTTACTGACACGGCCCGTTTCACGCTCCGGTGGAATCAGCTTATTTGTTGTTGTGCAGGAGAAAACCAAGCAAAGTGTAGGGAAAGAAGGAAAGAAGGACACAGCATTGAGAGCATACATTGTTGGTGAATAAAGACGACTGGAGTAAACGTACTGATTGGATTACCATTCCCACCACTTCCTGGAGCCTTGCATCCACCTCCATTTACATTCGCTGTGGCAGAAACGTATGCTAGAATTCGTATGATTGTATAGGTCATGCATTCACATCGCCTTGAGATAATGAAACCTGAATCATTCTATCAGCTACTATGCTCTCACTTTCTCTGTAGCTCCACTCCAAATCGGTTACTTTGGCAAGGAGTTAGCCGATGCAGCCCATGCTCAGAATTCACGATAAAGCAGACGATTTGTGGATTCACGCCCGTGGGTGCAAGCATTGAAGTGCTTCGTGCTAAGATTACACTTTCAGATTCAAACCTCTCATGTTTCCTCATCAACTGCGTCTCGTCAAATTTCTTGCTGTGATTGCATTTGATTTTTCCATTTACGATAAGTGAGACCATGGAGACAATTCCATGTTCTAGTGGGTTAGAGGTAAAAGAGCACTCTACTGGGGAGGGACGCAGAAGGATGAGAACAGGGAACACCCGTTTCATTAAAGCGAAGCCACGGCAGTGGGAGGTTAGTGTTATTATTTTCTCAAAAGAGGGAGTAATAAGACTGGAGTGATGTGGAGAGGGTCGTCTGGATTCAGTGTTGTATGATACCGCCTTCGCTATTTGGATGCAAACTCCATCCACACCCGTATTGATGAAGTCCGAACTTTGCCTTGAACAGTACGCCCTTGTGTAATGACCCAAGTATGAAGGAGCACTCAAATGGGACAGAAATATGAAATGTTTACCCTTGTTGTCTACAGAATTAGGCAATTGTGTGATGTCGACATACTTGTCTCTCAGTTCACTCGAAAGCCTGTGGTGAATCAGGCGAAATTGCATAGCACCACCAAATGGGAGTGGTTTTCAATGGTGTCGCCTCCACCATTCCTACCCTCGTCCAACCAATGCTGCTTTAAATCAGTATATGAGCCAGTCGTTTTCGCCCAATTGAGATAGGAAACTGTTTTAAATCTGCCTGAGTGATGCACGAGTTAGAGTGCTTCAAGCCATGGTCCTCACTGGACATGCAGGTGGCAGTTAACTCTCACCTTCTCTATTCTGCTTCAGCTTGTCAGCCATCCACCGAATGGGTCCTGAATGGCTAAATGCAATCTGAAATTTGGCATTGCTTACGCCTACTTTAAAGTTGCAAGTAGCATCATCCCCAGCAGTTACAGACTACTCATGATTCATGAGTGGATTCCTCCTTCCATTTCATCATCATTAACAGTGGCGACAATTCTTAAAAGAAGTAGAGCTGGTTAGCTAGGCTATGAATGCTTCTTCATCAGGAATCATTTTTAATGGACCCTTGTTTTGAATTCTAACTTGAATGTATGGAAGATGAGCACTACTGAGTTCTCTTTCCTGGTAGTTCAAGTCAAATGTGTGGCTTGTGCTCATTAAAGTTGACAAACATTTCAGCTATGGATAGTGGTAAGACGGATGGTGGGTAGGCTATGCTGAAATCTTTAGACAGGCCTGTGGAAAATCATGCATCGCCAGAGGAGCATGGAGAAGAGTGGGTGGTGGGGGAGGAGGAGGGGGCAACAATTGAACCATTTTCCGATTTCACGCAGTGGTTGGAGGCTATCGTTGCTTCATCCAGTTCCAGTGAGAGCACTCTTGTTAATCAAGACGTTAGACCATCACCAGTCCAACAAAACCCGCCTTTAGAAGCAATGACCAACCTAACAATGCTGCTCAACCAAGGAATACTGAGCAATCCTTTTCGTAGAACATATTTTAGTGTCCCTGGATTAGTGCTTTCTGGTGCAATGCAACCTACTCGTTTCCCATCCTCTATTCGTCATACCGTTACTTTCGGTGGAATTTCAAGCAGTCAGAATAATCCAGGTAAATTGCTGATCAATTACTAAAATGCCACCTTTCGTGATTCGTTACTCCTCTCTTTCCCGCCTTTAATTTTACTTTTCAATATATGTGTGTAAAGTGCTTGCAATGAGAGTGGCAACGTGCTTTCCTTTGCTAGACACGAGAGTGACAATCCCTGTGATGGGCGATTTAACACACACCGACCCGGTGCTAGGAGATGGTAATATGAACTGTGTGTATGCATGGAATCTTCCACCGGACTTCTCGGAATTTGAGCTCCATTACTTATTCGCACCATATGGAGAGATGGCGGAGTACTATGTGGAGGACAATTTGGCTAGATTTGATGGCGGGCGTTATGGTGCTGTCTTATTTCACATTCCACACCTACTATCAAATTTGATGTTTAATTTGCTTCTCGTTTTGTCTTGTAGCAATTATACGCTATTATGCCTACGCGAGTGCAAGGGATGCTGTTGTAAATATGGACGGTCATATGTTAAACGAACGTAGAGTGACAGTTGTGCGTGAGTCGACACCTCTATCGTTTCTCATCTCCCTACTCCTTAAAGCGACACGGGTTGACTTCCTTCTGAATTCAGTCTATTATCCTAGATGGATTATGATGCCGCCTCCGCTTTAAACTTCAGCGTCATCCACAACACCCGTCACCCCATTTCTCGGCCCACTTGCCTCCCCCGTTGTCAAGTGTTTGGCGTTTGTCCTGACTGTTTGACAGGCAATGTTTACGCAGACTTG